CCGGCAGCTGCTGAGCAGGTCCGTGCCCCGGCCCTCCTGCCGCACCTGCCTGGCCCCCAGCAGGCCTCCCTGCTGGGAACCACCCGGGGCCGCCTCCTCTTGGGGGCTCTGGCAGGGTGAGGGGAAGGGGGTGTTGTTGCTCACAACTGTGCTGGGGAGGTAGTGCTTGGTGCCGTAGGGTGGCTGGCTCATGGCAATGGTGAGATCCCAAAGGGGTGCTGGGAGGTTGGAGGGTCTTGGGTTAAGAGAAAGCATAATGTCCGTTCTGGAGAACACCTGCTGTAAGGATGCTACTGTGAGTGTCTCCTGTTGTGCTGCTGGGCTGCTCTGGTGCCTCCCTGTGATGGGCATTTGGGGTGTCAGGTGGCCTTATGGGGATAGTATTGCATAGCTGACTGGGCTGGCACCACACCTGTGCTTGAAAACACTCAAAGAGCTGCTATGCTGGAAAACATCTAGAAAGTTAAGAGGGTGAGGGAAGGAGTCTCTGTATGGAGTCAGCTCACATCTTTTTGGGGCTTTTTAGCTCAGACATTGTCTAGAGAGGAATACACAGAGGAGGTAGTCCTGTAAGTAGTATAGCTTACCTGTCCGTGCAGGTACTGCACAGAAATTGTCTTAGTCGCTTTTAGGTCTTGATTTATGTGCTACTGGGATGAACTGCCTGCTGTTTCAGGCTTGACTTTCTGGCAAGTTGCGTATCCTGAGCCTGGAATCATCTTCTTGTCTAGTGTCACCAAGCCTGGAACAAAGGGGTTCCCCAATAGAAGTGCAATCAAACCCTCTCAAAGGAGGGCAGAAGGTGGGTAGTAAAGGGTAGGGAACAAGTGTTCGTTCATTCATCCATAAATGATTTTCCTTTATGGATATATACAGAGTGCTAGCATTACTAGTTATTTTAGTGCCCCATTGCACTGCTACATTAACTGGACTTGTGATAATTTGGGTGTCCACAGGTCCCCTAAAGCTTGTTATGAACTTGTATCATAGCACCTTTAGGCACCAGCTCTTTCTTTTAACACTTGTATGGAGCAAATACTGCCTCCTTGTAGGCTCAGTAAGACTTAAGTAGCTGTTTTAATTGAGAATAAAACATGGTTTTACTCTAAGCTTCTATTTTCAGTTGCTTAAAAGCTCTTGGGCTTGCCTTATTCATGCTGGGTTTTGGCTTGTAGAGCTAGTTCATAAATCTAACCAGCCACTTGAGTGGACAGTGAGGAGAGTGGTAATGCCAGTTCTAAAACTTTTCTGTTGCTTTCTGTTTGTGTAACTCTGTGGCTTTGTTTATAAAGCTCTAGGCTTGGAAGGTATGCAATCCTCTGGACTGATCTCTTTTTTTTAAAGTTACTAGGTCTTAGAAGTGGTTAACTTTACAGCCCATGGGAAATGATACCTAGTACATGCTACTTTCTGAAAGGACTAGACTGAAGTCCTAATATTAATGAGTGTTTTGTATCTGGGCTGCCTAACTGCAAATGTCTCAGATGACTTGGAACAAACTACTTTGAGGGTATCGTGCCCTTTATATATACACCCTTTAAATAACCTGGAACTCTTATAGGATGGAATGTTACCAGATAACTTCCCCACAGCATTAACCATTGGCTCTTATTAATCACTGATGAGACTTAAAGCTTCAGAAACAATGAAGTGTGCTTGCATTTCAGCTTTTTTCTTACTACTTTAAACAGTGGTAATTGGAAGTAGGCCAATTGGGGAGGAGGAGTTGTGGATAAGCATATTGGTTGGTTTCAAAGCCTGAGGAAGGTCAAAGCAACTACAGTAGCACAGCAGAGAAAGCTAAGACCAGGTGTTTTCTGCATCAGTAAGAATAGGTGTATTTTGCTACTGAACCTTAAATATGTAGTATAGCAAGCTGAAGCTGCAAGAATTCATTCTGCAAGTGCTGTTAACATACCCTAGTCTTGACAAACTGGAGGCTGTTTCAAACATACCTGAACTCTTTAGGTAAAATTATTTAAATTATCCAGGTCAAGCATATGTGACACTCTGATTCACAGGGAATGTGATTGGCAGTGCCTCAAAGTTATTGCTTGCAATTGATGGTATATAAGTCATGATTAGTTCTAGAATGGTTGGTGTGGAATGTTGTAGAGTACTGTAACTGTCTCTGCATAATAATGTAAAGTGGTGTTCTGAACCCCAAACTTGGTTTAAAAGGATAGTAAATGTTCTTGTCAAAGCCAGACTTGTTTCATCTTTAAGAACAGCAATTTAACAACTTGCTTCAAGGTTGTCTGAAAACAATATTTCTGAGGAAAGAATACAGGAAACCTGAACCTGGCTTTTGGAGGCCTGCATAAGGAAAGTGGACAATCAAACCACAGAGTTAAAACACAGATACTAATGGAATTTCAGTCTTGCACATGCTTTGATTGCAGAAGGAAACCTATATTATTTTAGGATGAAACAGTCAATATTATCATTAAGTAGTGTTGTGGATGTATACTTGTTAGTATCATAACTAGTACTCACAATAAGTGGTAGCAGAGATTCCAAAAGGAAGGTGGCTGATTAATACCTAGAAAAGAAAGAAACCTGTAAATACTAAAAAACCTGCAACACACTATGCTGTTTTTCATTGTTAGCCCAGTAGCATTCCTTTTTTTTTCTAGAGTCTGAGTGAAAAAATAATAAAGAACTTCTGCTAGCAAAACACTTAGTTTTGTTGTGGTCATGAAGTATGAGATGCAATCAACAAATATCTCTGAATAGCAGGGCTAGAAAAGGTCTTGAGCAGGAACCTGATCTAGCCACATGCCCTAGGCCTGTGTTGGAAGCAACCATACCTGCATCCTTTCCAGCAGATGTTTGCATAACCCTTTTTTTTTAAATTCCAGATGATGGAGATTCCAGAATATCCCCCCCAGGCAATGTGCTTCAGTGTTGAACTACTGTTAGTTTCCTCTCCCTAACATCTAACCCAAATATTCCTCCCTGCAATGTAAGCCTGCAACTTCCTGTCTTTTCCACAACAGACATGGAAAACAGATTCCCTTTCTCTATGCAGCAGTCTTTCATGTATGTAAAGACTGTCATGTCTCTTGTCACGGTTCTCTTCTCTAGACTAAACAACCCTTACTTTCCAAGCTTTCTAGAGCTGATCACTCCTGCAGAATGCATTTGGACTATCTCCAACTGGTCTGTGCAGTTATCAACTGGAAAACTCATTGGATGAATTATCACAACTTAGCCACTTGGCAGAACAGATTTTGCTAAAATAAGTTGAACACTGTATTCTTTGTGATCTCAAATCTGAGTTCTGAGCAGGAAGTCAGATGATGGCAAGGGCTTTAGAAGTTAAAGCAGTCTGGGAAATGATCACCCCTTTCTCTGACAGGAATTTGCTGTGGGCCCAGCACTTTTCTACTGTGGTGCCAAGTAAAAATGGCAACTTCAGTAACTACATTAGCTATCTAGGTGATACCTGAGGGCTCTGTACTTGGGTATTTGTGCAAGGAAACAGCCCTATTCTGAAGGCAAAGCTTCTCTTACTCTGTTACTCTGCCATGGTGTGAAGGAGGGAAGAGTGTGTGAGCCTTCCTGAGGGAGAGCAGTTCCTTGCAAGAGTGCTGTGAGGGAAGGGTGGCTGCTGTGGGGGCTTGCTGCACTTTGGCAGGAGCTGAGAGGTTGCAGGAGGCAAAGCCCCAGCTGGGATGAGGGGCTGAGGCCAGTGGCCTCCTGGGGACAAACCCCCTCCTTTGCTGTGGGCAGGAACATCCCAGGGGGTGGAGGAATGACACTCTTTGGCAGCCATACCTGCAGAGGAGGGGCTGCTTTGCCCCATGTGTGACCAGCATTGCCTGCCACCCCGCCTCAGGCCAGCAGGCCTTGTGCTGCTCGTGCCCAACATGGCTGCTTGCAGGTGCTGCAGAGCCTCCCTGGGCTGGAGCTCCTGCCATGGCTGTGCCCTCCTGGTGAGGGGCGTGTGGGGCTCAGCCCCGGTGGCTGCAGCAGCAGGGTGTTCTCATGGCCAGCAGGCTCTCTGCCAGGAAGCTGGTGGCAGCCTTTGCTTCTGAAAGGAGGTGTCTGTGTGAGCAGCTTGTTTGGTGGCAGCAGGTCACTGGTCTGGTGAATTTTGCTTGGAGTGTGACTAGTCCCTCTCTGTGGAGACAGTGGCCTGTCCTGGCCCTTCCCTCTCTGGTTGGTAATGCTGTGGAAAATAGCTGGCTTCCACATAGGATTTGCACAAAACAGGCTGGAAACCAGGTCAGAAGTCTTTCTGGTTAGACAAATGGTACTTGTCTGAGGGGCCTGTCTGGTTTGTTTTTTAAAGCCTACCCTGTGCTCTCACAAGTGTTAACTAACCTCTCGTTTCAGTTCTGCCACAGATTTCTGTGAAAGTAAACACATAAACTTTCTCCTTTATCAGCTGCAACTTCTGAGTGCAAAACTTTCACTTCCAGGAATTCAAAAACAGAAGCTGATTTCAACCTGGTACAGGCTCGTATGAGAGACCTTGATGCTCAGCTGAATGCGAAGGAAGCCGACTTAGCAATAGCTTTGAATGAGAACCGAAGCTTGGAGAATGACCTTTCTGAATTAAAGAGTGAAGTAGTCACTGTAAGACTTGTTCCTTGAATTTCAACTTTGCCTTTGTTCCTGAAGCTTTTGTTTGTTTTTCCCCAACTAGTTATTGAGATTTAAAAGCAGGGAAAGACTGTTATCTATGATGATGGCAGGTAGACAAAAAGATTTCTGCAGTCTTGCTGAAAGCAAATGCTACTGATAGTTGATCTGTTAAAACTTCCACCTGTTGTAGGTACTTTTAATTGTATTCTATGACCACAGTATGTAATGTTTCTTGTTCTAAGGACAAAGTAAGTTGATGTGTTTTGTACTGCTGTAGCCCCTGTACTATTCTTTAATGTGTCAGCAAAGGGAGCATTTGACAGACCCTGCTTCACTCTGCTTGAATCTAGGCAGAATAAATAAGTTCTGACTACTTTTGTAGGCTCCTGTGCTACTAAAATAAACTCTGGTTGAGTTGCTACTTTATCAAGGCATTTCTAAGAGCATAGCTGTTTTGTCTTCATGCTTTAATGTGATCACTGAATAACCCAATTACAAATTTTTAGGATGAAAACTTAAAAACACCCAACAAACTTGTATCATTAAAGCAGCACACTCCAACACTGGAAGAATATAATAGTTTGTCAACCTAGTTAAGCTATATTTGGAGTATTTCACTTGTTAAGTGTTAAGCATCAAGCAAATGATATTGAAAGGTAGAGAAGTTTGGGATATTTAGTGTTGCAAAGAGCAGCAATGTATATGGATGGAACAATTGATTCATCAGAAGTCTACTTTGAGGAGTCAAACTTAGCTGGTAGGATTAAGGACTGCCCTGTTTGCATTGTGGGAAATCTGGTCTATGTAACAAATAGGGTTTTTTCTGTTGCTAATATGCTGGATCCCACTGAAATAAGAACTTAGAGTAGTTAACTTCACAATGCAGTGTGATTTGATTGCTGTGGGAAATGAAATTGAATGACCTGTAATAAGTTGACTGTCTTAGTTTGGAAGAATGACCTCTTAATTTTGATTACCCTGATGTCTTTTCTAGCTGCAGCTGTCACTGGAAGATACCAAAAAGCATCTCCACAGTGAAATGTTGAGGAGGGTGGACCTGGAAAACCATATGAAAACTTTGCAGGAACAAATGACATTCCAGAAGCGCCTTCATGAAGATGTATGTTTTAGCTTATTAACAGGGATTTTTTTAGGTGTCTATGATACCTGGATGCACTAAAAGCAATGTTAAGATGGGCTTTATCCTTAAAAAGGTAGCTAGCTGAGTCAATTTATGACAGTCCACCAGCCAATAAAACCCACCTAACTAGGAAGACTTCAAGAAAGTACACAACCTCATCTTAACTGGCATAGTACCAATAGGTATCTGGAATATGAGATAATTTTCTCAGGCTGCACTTCTGAAGGTAACTACAATCCCAATATGCTACTTTGTATAACTGAAAGTTAAAGTACAGTTAAAGTTAAATGATTCCAGATGTTTGCTAGAAGCCTAAAATAAGCAAAGTAGTTAAATCTGCTTTAATAAGCAACTCCTGTTCCCTACCTCCTTAGCACTTTTATCAAAGGTGTCTGGTGACCTTTGTGTGAGAAGTCAATATATAGAATTAAAAAACATGTGAATGTAAACCAACTTCCTTCTGACTAGAAAGAATCTCTGTGTGTGGTTTAAGTGATAGGGAATTTCAATTTCTCTAACCAACTACTATTACTTTTTGACTAAAACAAGAATAGGGAAAGTAACAGTGCTTAAACTAAATCATATATGCATGTGTTCTAAGTATAGAAAAGCAGATAAACCAATCTAGTTCAAAGAATTAGTCTTAAAATGAAATACAAACTACTGCATTTATTAGTTTAAGCAATGTTGGCAGTGAGGGAGCAAAACAACACAGTGCAGCTAGCAAGGTGGAAGTACCTGACCTAATGGATGAATATCTAAGATCTGAATAAAGATGAATTACCATGCACTCAGTGATAAATCTGCTTCAATACTGAATGAATTGCTAAGCTGGTACAGTAAGTCCAGTCTCAAATAAAACTGTATTTGCTTGCTTATTCTCTGAGAAACTTCTCCTAGGAACTCAAGGAGACAAAAAGAGTCCATGAGAGCAGGATAGCAGAATTAATATCTGGCCACCAGAGAGAATTTGAGAGCAAGCTCACAGATGCTCTGCAGGGGCTCAGAAAACAACATGGAGAACAAATTCAAGGATACAAAGAGGAGCTGGAGCGAACATTCAGTGCAAAAGTAAGTCTGTAAAAGATGCTAATAAAAACTTTACAATAGACCTTCTACAAACACTTGGTCCCAAACAAAACTGGTTCAAGCATAAATACTGTGCCTTTGGGGAGCAATTAGGAATGGCTAATGTAATGAAGTTAATCATAATACAGACTTCTGACAAATTCAGGACAAAGATGTGCTATGTTTGTATTAAGCAAGTTCAGTATTATTGAATAAAACTTGCTCTACTGATTATAGTTCTACTAAAATGCATGAAACAAGGTATTCTTACAGTTCTACAAGTGCACTTTTAAATGTCCCTTTCCAGTTGCTAGTACTGGATAAGGGGGAGAGGGCAGCTATGGAAGTAGCTTGACAGTTTGTCTTCCAGAACTGGTCTGTCACCTCTCTCCCAGCGTTAGCCACATATGCAGGAAAAAGTAATACTTTAGGCTTATACCCTTGGTAGGTGAGATCCCAGGGGTTACTGGGTTGGTTGCAGTGTGTGTGTACAGCTTTCATATCTTAAGCCTTAATAATCAGTGCAGAATCACATGATCTGCTACTTTTCACAATGCATGTGTTCATTCTGGTTCTTCTGGTTTTATACTCCAACTTAGATGCCAACTCAGTGAATTCCTTTAGATGTTTTTGTCCAGGTTTCCACTGGAAACTCTGTGAGTTCCTTTTGTAGTAGTGTGGCTCTACTATATCTTTTCTTGGAACATCTCAATGTTGAATTGCTCTAGAAATAGCTCAGTGCTGCTTATAGTGAAGCAGGAACTTTTTAGCAACAAACTTTCGGGGAAGAGCAGTAACTTGATAAGCACACCTAATATCCTGTAGCCCCATGCTTTGACAAGCAGCTTCTAAACATATTTTCCATTGTTCTTCTGGAGAATCTGTTTACTTCATATCTATACAAAGTCTTCATGCATCTGTAACTGAAATATCCTAATCCAGCAATTTTCACTACCTGGTTAGTACTGACTTTTTCTGATGTGCATGTCAAACTTGTATAAACGTCCCTGAAAAGCAATGAAAAACTTTCTGACCTGGACTTCACTGGTATCAGTGCACTTGGGTAAAACAACTATTTTCACATGTAAGAGCAGGAAATCACTTGGTTTTCCTTCCTTATTTAAAATACATTGTCATAAGCAATCAATTACTAACAGTGACTTATCCATAGATGAAGAATGCTGAGCTATCTGCAGCAAAAAATAGTGACTTTGCCAATGCTGCTCGGGAGGAGCTGATGGAAACAAAGCTGAGAGTTGATGTTCTGACATCTCAAGTTAATCAATATCAAAGCCAGGTACTACCTTTATTTGTATGTCCTTAGAATTTTTTATTTTGATACTCAATTAAAAATATTGGCCTCTCCTCTTTAATTTTCAGTTATTAATTGATTTTTCCCTCCATTTAATTTTAGAATGTTGCTTTGGAGAACAGAATAAGGGAGCTACAGGAGACGCTGGATTACGATCGTGATCTCCATCGGAGGCGTATGGCTGAAAAAGAGAAAGAAATGGCACAAGCCCAGCAGCAGGCACTAGCACAGTTGGAAGAATATGAGCATCTCTTAGATGTGAAACTGGCTCTAGATCTGGAAATAAATGCCTACAGAAAGATGCTGGAAGGAGAGGAACAGAGGTAGGCTATGACAAATCCTTGTGTGAAGACTTGCTTCATCCAAGATCTCTATGCTCATTAACTATATATTCTTCAGAGTGTGGAGGAGGCAAGAAACAAATATGGTACTAATCACATAGTTAATAATTTAGTTCTTGAAGTATAATCTTCTGTAGATGGTATTTATATCCTATACCCACTGTGTGGTGTAGTAAGGTGAAGTAACTTGATAAAACCCAACTGATAAAGTTCAAAGGTCCATTAGACGTCACTCCCTAGAATCAAACTTTCTCAAAGCTCTGTGCTATGTCCTAGAAAGATCTTTAAGACAGTGCTTAAGTTTCATGAATGAAACTGGGAAATTGTATCAATTCCTGACTATCCCGGTGCTGCCTGGTGAGAACAACATGAACTCAATACATGCTAAGAAGGGTCAAAAACTACTTCCACTAAAGATTGTGTCTGTAGAGGCTTTAAAGGAATACTCATTGCAGTTGGGAATATTTTCTTATGGACATAAGCTTGCTCTGAACTCTAGGGCTGGGGCTGTCTTCCAAACTTAACAACCTACTTAGCTACTCTTGCCAGTAAAAATAATCTTATATTCAAAACTTCATGGAAAGCTTGGATATAAGAAGCTGCTAGGCTTGGCTGTAGTGGGAGGATAGGAGTGAGAAGAAATAAGCACCTCAGATATTCAAGTAGATGTTATCTGACTCCCTCCTAGGCTAGAGCTGTCACCCAGTTCACCTTCACACAGCACTGAAACTCAAGCAACAAGTCAAGGGCGACGGTTCCTGTATGGGAAGAAAAGGAAAATGAAAGAAGCCAAAAAGAGAGGGCATAGTGCTGGATTTAAGACTGTTCAGCATGCTTCATCTTCTGGAAATGTATCTATTGAAGAAATTGATGCAGATGGGAAATTTGTCAGGCTTAAAAACAATGCTGATGAGGTACTTCATTCAAGTCTGCATGGCCTTCATTGCAAAGTATGACTGCTTGTGAACCAACTTGTAGCTTAGTGAGAGATGACAAGAGGGAAGGATGAAGAGATGAGGGAAGAGTACTGCCAAACTAAATATAACTGGGGACTAACCTGGCTACTATCAAGAGAAACTAGAAACTAATTCTAATTTTTGGTACTGCAGGTGTCTTTATTCACAGGGATGTCTGGGAGGTGCTTTTGCAGGGAGGTACACTGGGTTCTGTGATGTGGAAATCTAACACCTTCAGTTGTTTCTCATCAGATTCAGGCTAGCACTATCAGAAGTACTACTTATCATCAAACTAAATAAGGTGCTTAGTAAATTGGATAACAGCTTCTTATTACTTAGAAATGCTTAACAGCTAAAAGGGTGAATAGTGCTGACATCTAATCCACATAGTGTTTATCTGACCAATTAGATAATTCTTTGACTTAGTCTGCAAATCCAGAATTATTAGAATTAATCCTCAGAGCTCCAAAACTTGTGGCTAGTATCCACTTCAGCCTGAGATGCCTTAAACCTCCACAGGCCACTGTGTATATGTTTTATGGCCCAAGTTGGTAGATGGGCATGACCAACTTCGCTTATCGGAATCTTCCTGATAAAGAGTGTCACGATCCCCCTTCAACAGAAGGCAAGAATAGATGTGCCTACACCTGTGGGGCTAAGGAAGTGCTGGGAGAAATCATAGGGAGGCTTTAATGGAAACTTGAAGGCTTCCTCAAAATTGATCAGACTCTCGTATCCTTCAGGAATGGGACTAGACTGACCCTTGAGTCTGGAAAGAACCTTGTGCTTCTATGATATGGTGTTGGTCTGTAATGCTGAGAGAAATTTCTTGTCCCACAGGATCAACCACTACATGGATGGGTGTTAAGAAGACATATTGGAAGTGTGTCAGATGTAACATACAAATTTCCTTCACGGTTCGTTCTTCAGGCAGGCCAAGTAGTTACAGTAGGTAGTGGTTTTGTAAAACTACTCAGAGCTCTGTTCTTGTTATGTTAGATGGCAATAGAGATTGATGTAATAAAGAAAACTAAATTGATACTGCAAGTGCCTAAAGAACTAAAATCCTTATTTTCTGGAAAGGGAGATGGAAAAAATCCTTGCAACAACTTGATCTGAAATGCCAGTTAAATTTTTTAAAGCTAGATCTTGGATTGAACTTGGAACATCCCAGATTGAGATGTGCTGTTATTTTGAACAGAATCAATATATTCTAGTTTATTTTTAGGGTTCCCCATACTCCTGGTACTTGATACAAGTTGTGAAAAGGCTGTTGCTAGAAGCTTTAGTCTGCTACAGTTCAGCAATGCTGAGCTCACGGTTTATGGTACTAAGCTAAATATTGGCTCTAAAATTGTACTCTTAAGTACATTCAGACAATGATCAAAGAACCTAATTCTACACTCTGCACTCCAAACTCTGTATGAGCTTGCTCAAGAGCTCTGTGAGTGATGTCAGGCTAGAGGCTATCTTGTATACACAAATTGCTTCTGTGAGTATGTCTGTAACTATGGCTTGGTTCTGACTCGAATAGTATGCATGTCCAAGCAAGGCTGCCTCTACCTCAGGTAGAAGCTCTTAACAGCCTTTTCTATGCTAACTGTTTTACAATCTTCAGGTAGAACATAAAAAAAAAGACTCCACCAAACCCAAAAAAACCCATTACCACCATTCTTGGTAGTTCTGAAAAGAACTAACCTGCCAAGGATTACAGTACAGCTTCTGTTACTAGATGTCTTTGGTATTGGAGTAATTAAGAGCTAATATATATTAGACTGAATGCTAATCTAACTATAAATAAGATTAATTGTAATCTCACTCTAAATCTGTTGCAGATCTGGGGTGCAGCTGCTGATGTAAGCCCAGGTCCCAGTGATCTGGTCTGGAAGTCTCAGAAGTCTTGGGGAACTGGGGATAATATTGGTGTTACACTCATCACAGATGATGGTGAGGTAAGTGACAGAGTAGCTTCTAATTTCCTAATGCTAAACTTGTTTGATGTTCTTAATTCTCAAGGGTTCTTGGTGGCAATTCAATTGTATTCTAGGAACTTGCAGAGAGGAAGATAATGCATGTACCCAGAGAAGAAAGCGGTGAGCAAGATGATGAAGAAGTAACTGGAAGTGGAATGGAGTTTCCATCTCAAGTAAGCTGCCTGAAGTTTAAACACATACTATCAACAGAATCATTCAGTGGTCACTTCTTTTCATTACTGTATAAAATACTTCCACAAGTATTATCCATATCCTACAACTCTTAACATTTCTCTTGATGTCAGACCAAAAGAAGAAGAAAAAAGAAATGTTGTTTGGTTTCATGATAGTGGTTCCTGTGAGCATCCTTAAGCAGGTGAGATGGTGAGAATCATGCTTGTCATCTCATAGAAAACTTGCTTCATTTATAGTGCTGCAGCCTTTTGTCCTATGTAGGATGTAGCTTGCATGACTTTGCATCACAAGTGGAATTGATGTTTTGCTTATTCTCTGGTTGAATATGATCAAATAGTAGCATTAATTGCTTGGTCTCTTATTACTGACACACTGAAAAACACTACTTTTAGTGTCTGTTCCATGTAAACATCTGACTATGAATAAACTTAAAAGCTGTTACTGCAAGAACAGTATGCAAATGCTAACCAGAAATACTTTATTTCTGTGGGATGAAGTGACTTATCTGACACTCCAGTTTCCCTGACTTGCTATCAAGATAACTTAAACTCACACTGAAGAAACCTAGTATTTCCATTCAGAAGGATTAAAAGGCTGAAATCAAAGCATATTGATTAAGTCCCTCTTAAATTCAGGTATGACTTTGAGGTACTTCTCTTCCAGCTTATTTCCAGGAACTCCTTTTTTTTTTTTTTTGTCCTAAAAAAGTATCTCAGCCATGTTTGTCATAAATACTCCCTTCAATACTTTTCAAGTGGAGCTTCAGCACAGATGCAGGTCATGCCAATGGAATGAACATAGTCAAATAGAGTAAGCATGTTTTGTCTTCAATATACTTATAACTCTTTCGCTACAACTTGCATATTGTAATGCCCTGTGAAAGACTCTCTAGCCCCTCCAAACAGATTTTGACTGACCATATTACAAGTTTGAACTTCTGCATATTGGATGCTCCTAGTGTACTTCAGTAGGCTAGTAGTTGGGTATCTGTAATTGCTGCAGTAGTCTAAACCAGAACTAATACAAAGCTTTGTAAATTGGTCATAACTGAACAATTATGGAATGTACTTGACTCCTGTGTTTGTTTCTTGACTTGAAATAGCACTGAGTCCCTTTTGCTAGTAAAAATGCCAAGGCCTAAAGAGCAAGAGGATGCCTAGCTAAAAATTCATTCTCTCCCTCTTGCTGACACAGTAGGTTGAGCTACAGCAGCTCTTGCTAAAACTGATTCTACACAGTTACAAGGAGGACTTGCATCTTACTGCACCAGGTCTTAAAGCCACTGTCATTTCCTAGATATTTTCATGATATAACTGTCTGAAAATGTAGAAGTACCTTAGTACTGTCTTTCTGAAGAAAATGTACCTAAGAACAGGCAGTTACTGCCTGCTGCTTGGTTCTTTCCTTGTCCTTCTTTCAAAAACAAAATCTGGGTAAATATCTATTACTATAATACTATCTGGCTTGAAGGAGGTTTATTGAAGTCTCCTGACTTACATGCATGTTCTTGTAATATTTTTTGATGTCTCACTGAAGGAGGGTGAGACCCTGTTAAATAGGCTATTGAGAGAGGTTCTGTAATGTTCTTCTGGCCTTTGGGGCTCTTACTGCACAGCATACACCAAAATGGTTGAAGTAACACTAGTGGAAGCTTTATGCTTGTAAGACTTCATACAAGCTTCTTCATGGTTAGAGTAGGGCCTCTCAAGTTTTCTTTAAGGTTCTTTATTTGACTTCACTAATAGTATGGCTTGTTTGGCAATCAATGCTGAAAGCAAAAGTAACTTTTTTCCTTAAGCCTCTAATCTGTTTTATCAGCAACTTTACAGTACAGTTGTGTGCTACTTATAGTAAGAATCAATCCTAATACTCTCATTCAAATGTTAATGTCATTCCTGTCTGCTGAATTCCTACCAAACTTTTGTCATTAGTACCTATATGCTTCTGCTGCATTAGTAGTACTGAAATAATGGCAGCTTAGTAAAACAGAGTTAACTTCTTGCATGTTGTAAAATGATGCAAAGAAAGCATGCTGTGCTTTAAAGGAAAACAGGGTTTCCATGGGTTTTGCTTCTGCTTTTATCATTCTAACTAGGGTAGCATGAATGTGCATGCCAATTAAGTCTTGGTGCTTCAGAATGGAGATACTGATAGCTAGCTTGATAAGCTAGCCCTTAAAGGCATAGGTTCATGTATTGCATGGACTCAAAATTCTTAAAAGCTTGTTGATTTTTTTCCTCCCCACCACCCCCAAACCATCTAGTATAGTTAAAGTACTGCCTCTTGAAAACCTGCTTTGCTTTATTAATAAGCAATTAAATCTACAGAACACTAAAACCCCCCCATACCTACATGAAGATCAAGTAGGTAATCAGCAATAAATACTGTCTATACAGATGCTAATTAGCTTGATGTCTTCATGATTTATTTCTGCAGCAAAAGGAGGATCCTAGCTGTTCTGTCATGTAGTACGGACACAGAGATGATCATCTGAAAACACTTCTCAATCCCAGGTGACATAGACTACATGTGTTTTGGTATCTTCTGCAATAACTGAAACTTGGAATTCAAGTCTCCTGTCTGACCTCTTTGTAAGAAACATTGTCCATACCATGATGAAATTTCCTACCTTCTGATACTGGACCTTGTTCTTGGATTCACTGATATAAAGAGCAGTAGAATACAAGCTCTATGTGAAGTTATTTTTACTTTAACACAAAGATCTGGTTTCCATGACCTGCTGAAACAGGGGAGGGTACACAGTTTACAAAACTTCTAAACATATACCCTAGAAGGGTGCTAAACACTTGACAATGAGCATGAGACTGCCTCAGCCTGATACAGTGTGTCTGCAAAGGGGGTAACTTGTTTCAAGCCTGAGTGGGAAACTACATGGGCCGGATCACATGCAAGGTTGCACCCTGAGCAAGGCTGAACTTGGCTGCAGTAATCAGCACTCTTCAGGATAGTGTTTTACTGGAAACACTTCCAGCTCAGATCCTGATGCTGAAATACATGAAACTGGTCTAGATTGCTTGCTAGAGAACATCCCAGAGTTTAAAATTAGAAGTTATAAAAAATATTATTGTCTGTTATTACATGTACTGTACTCTAGCACTCAGAAATCTACCAGTTTCAGTAATATATATTCTTAGATACAGTATATCACAGCATAGCTGCATTAAACTTAACTTGGACAGATGTATCCTGTAAATGTGAAGGAAAAAAATCTCATTCCAACAGAGAAGGTACTGCAACTAGCAACATTAGCACTCTGAATGGTCCCAACAAGCCAGCTTTTTAAGGCACTAGAGGAAAAAAAGACTAAAACAAAAATCAAAACTAGAAAGCACTAACTGTAGTAACAGGAACATCAAAAATACCTGCTCTTAGAATCCTTATGTACTAAATCTCTGCACTATTGCTTGGTGTATGTCTTATGGGGCTGTTAGGGGAATACAGTATGTATTTTGGCCAGTATGTAATTTACTGTAACTGCAATAGCTCTGTAGTCCATGTAAGGCCTGACCTATAACCCTCAGAAACCAAGCAGTCAGCCTCTGGGGCCAGTGCATTCAATTATTCTTAGCCTGTTTTTACTAAACTGCTTACCTTACCTGCTGGCTCTGGTAAAGAAAGGGCCTGATGAGCCACATCTCTTTAAGAGTGTGAGGGAAATAGCTGAAGGGAGAGGAAGAACAGCTGAGATGATTGCTGATTTTTCCAAATGCTGGAATAGTTTGGGGGGTTTTTTGACTGTCTCTTGTCTTGCCAAAGTATTCAGTTCTGAATTTAAGACCTGTTCTATCTTAGGATGCAGTTGTTAAGAGAGTTTAAGCTAGTATAAGGAAAGCCTCACCTTTGTTATTTAAAAAGTCTACTTTTGAGACATCAACACTAGATACCAGTTTAATACTTGCATTTGAGCAGATCTGAATTCTTGTTGTACCTTATGGGCCCACACAGAAATAGATGCTGCTATAACCTTCTTATATTTGTCTTGATTTCTTAAACTTTTTTAACTAATAAAGATATTTTTCATTAATATAAAAGCAGTCTTGGAGTTTAATATTTGCAGGTTAAATAATAAAGTTCTGTTTGTTCATTGATCTTTCTTAAGTTAAAAGACTTTGAAGCAATAAAACTGGTGAGTTTCAGGAAAATTCCCTGCAGACTGAAGAAACCTTCAGAAATACTGTGCTGCCCTGTTTTATGTTCATCATTGAATTTTTCAAATAAAGCTGAACTGCTATGAACTTAAAAGGACTCTTCAATATTTCAAATGAAACCTTTTCATAGCACAAGGGAAGGGTGGTATTAAGCAACAACCATGAAAGATTTGAACTAGTGTACAAGTCTTGATAGGAAACAGCAGTGGTAGAGGTTGCTGTTTGGTAATGCCATCACTGGTCTAGGACAAGACCTACTTCTGTACAACCTACTGGGCCATTTATGAAATTTGTTCTTAGCATGCACTCTTAAAAGGTAGATGTTAAAGAACTGATTCTCTGATGTGCAATGGAGCCTATTGTGCAAATTGTCTTTTTGGTAGCACACCTTAAAGATAGTTAGTTTCTTATGACCCTTCTCTATAGTTATCCCAATCAATAACTGTATGGTGCTCTTTTGGCTTGCTTCCAGCTTACTACTGTTGCATAGCTGCTCCTGTCAGGTAAGAAAGAAAGACAGCCATTGCAGCTCAGCAGGAGCTCTATACTAAATGGCAAGTTGCCTACTGCAAAATACAAACCTTTATATGTGCGCATGCATGTTTGTGCAGATGCAATTCTTTCCTCTAGGGAATTCTGGGGAGGTAGAAAAGAGCTTTCAATGCCTCTTTTCTTGCATGCTGAGACCTGTCTGATAAAGGGGGGGAAAGCAAAAGCAGCTGTGAATCCCAAATACTTAAACCTTTGAAAATTGCCCCATACATTCTTGTATTCAGAACATCATGGCTACTGCCATTCAAAAACTAGGTTTGTTACTTCCCATAGTGCTGCTCTAATAACTACTAGGTAGTCACCTATGAATTCAGAAAAGAGCTGATGAATTTTCTTCTTTACATGAGCAAGTCCAACTTCTGAGATGACATGCCTTAAGTAGCAGGCTGCAGCCAAAGCTGCAAAGAATAACCCTCTACTTCTCTTGTGCAAGCCAAGGCCAGAGATGAAAGAAACCAGAAAGCCAGGGTTTTGTTAGCCAGTTAGTTACAGAACCAAGCAAAGCTCGAAACTCTGAAGCTGGATTTAAGCTAGTTTGCTATAAAGAGTTCAGCTCCCTTCTCATTGCTCTGTTGTGTACACAGAACAATTGGCAAAAGATTACATGTTCCTCTGAGGCTGCAGAATAGTTCAGTCATTAGTAGATCTGTGTTTTCTAAGCAAAGCAGGAGAAGGCTAACAGAAAAACAAATTAATTCTATCTTCATTTTGATAGTACTTAAGATGCCCAAGTCTTTCATTTTGAGGCTTTTTTTGCCTAGTTTCAGTTATAGCATGTCCCTCTCCACCTAGTCTTCTCTTTCTCCTCCTTCTCCATCCCTTTCAAATAAATAAAAATGTAGAAGTGTATTGACTTTTCATTTGTTGGCAGTAGTCACCAGAGATACTCACCTGTTTATCGCAATGGAGTTCTATACAAACTCAGTGAAGTTAGGATAAGTTTGTACTTAGTTCAGAAGAATTTTTCTCTGATCCTCCTGCTAGAAGAAAATTTTAACAGATATTATAAATGCTACACAATCAATAGAGAGAGAGCAAGATTATTAACATTCCAGTAGCTGAGGGGTCATAAAACTAATACTTTGGTT